ATCACCCACCTGAGGTCCAAGCTGACGGTGAAGCGCCGACTGGTCCAGTTCAAGGCCCACAGCGACTGCTTCGTGGGCTCCGAGGCCGTGGACGTCCTGCTGCGGCACGCCGCCAACGCTAACGGCCTGCCGGGTGAGTCCGCTCCACGTCCGGCTGGCCTGCAGCGACTATCAGAAAAACACAGGGCTGTTTCACTTTTTACCCTGCAAACACAGAGTCAAATATTTCAGTTCACCTGGAAATAAACAGTTACAAATAACTTTCTAGCTTTTTATGTCAAATATTGATTGAAGAATGAAAGATCGATTATTTCACTTGCATGAAAACATTTTCATGAAGTGAAATAAGATTTTAGCTCGAGAAACTATTTTTTTGCAGTGCACTCGTGGCTTTGGCTGTGCCAAGTTGTCTTATTATTTTGAAGCCAGTAACGTTTTGTCTTGATAACCTACTGATGGGTTTCAGACATGAATCTGTTTGGTCCAACCTGCAGGTGGCGCTGTCTCCAGAGAGCAGGTGGTGTGTGTGTGCCAGGCTTTGCTGCAGAGCGGTGTGTTTGAGGCCGTGGGAACCAGAAACAGGAGGCAGGATGCGTTTGAGGACAGTGGGAGCGCTCTGTACCGGTCAGATGTTCTCAGAAATGAGACAGACTGGACTTAAACTGGTTCTGGTTCTGAATGGTTCTGGTTTAAACCGGTTCGGGTTCTGACCGTGTCTCTGTCTGGATCAGGTTCGCCGAGCGACGCCGTCCTGCCGTGGAGGAGCTGCAGCGACACGCTGCTCTGGTCCAGCAGCTCTTCCTCGGCGCTCCTCCTCCTCCTCCTCGGTAATCTCAGCATTTCTTAAAACCTCAAAAATCAGATTTCTGTAACGGATCTAAAAACAAAATTATTAATGTGAGAAAATTTATGAAGAGTTTTTATTTCAGTCATTCTTACTGTGAGTCAGACAGCAGCCAGCTTTTTAATTACCAAAATAAAGTTATGATATTAGCAGAAAAAAAGCTCAATTTCATCAGAAACACGTCTTAAATTAAGAGACAAAGTATTTTATTGTGAAAAAAGTTTGAATGGCTTTAATGGCATTTTGAGGATCTGAACAGCTCAGATCAAATCACAACTCATTTCAAAGTTGTGCTGATAATTTCATTGTAAAGTCTTAAATATTAAAAAATATAAAATGTAAATCAAAGCATAACTTCACAAGATGGCCGTCGTGGATGATGTCATCACTCTTAACTATGGAAACCCAGAGAGGAAAAAATCCAAAACAAAACTTTGAATGATAAAACTGAAGTATTCAAGTTAAAGTCGCATTTCTTTAGATTTGAATAAAATTTTCAACAAAAAATAAAGAAAATGTTTGGTCATAACCACATAAAGCATCAGTTACCATAGCAACAGGCTCCTTTTAACCTCCAGGCCCGAGGAGCCGGCCGGGTCCCCTGGGGGGCCGGAGGGGCCGGTGGGCGGTCCCAGCAGGGGGCGCCAGACGGACACAGCTCTGCCTCAGTCCTGTAAGATGACAGTGTGCTTGGCATGGCAGCAGAGGCAGGGAGGTGGTTGACCGTCTGTTTCTGCCTCCAGTGGTCGACCAGGTGTGGCAAGAGCAGACGCTGCTCAGGCTGCTCAACCTGGTGGAGCTCCCCCTGCTGGAAGGAGTCCTGCAGTGCAGCCAGAGCCCGACCTCTGACCCCTCAGCCGACCTGCTGCTGATCAGCGACAGCCTGGACAGACGGATCCTCCAGGCCTTCAGGGACTCCCAGTAAGTCAGATCAGTAAAGCCAGTAGGACTGATGGTGAAACTAGGAAAACCAGTGTGACGAATGGGACTCCCAGTGGGACGTACTGGGAGCACTGGAGTTTCAGGTGTTTCTGGTTTCAGGGAAGACGACTGGCTATCCAGCGGTTTGGACTGTTTGGACTTCCTGCCTGACCAGCAGGTGGCGGAGCTGAGCAGAGAGCTGCCGCGCTGCTTCCCCCCAGACAGCAGTGACCCAGAACCACCACACGGGGGCGCCATTCAAGGCAGAGGCGAGTTCTCCTCCAATCAGGTTCAACAGAGGGGTTTTTTGCAGCAGCCATTTTTAGCCGCTTCAACCCGACTCCAGTCCGCCTGGCTAGAGAGTCCGGTTCCGTTGGGGATCGCCAATCCGACTGCAGTCCGTCTGCAACAAAGCAGACTGGCAGCCATTTTCACCTGGGGGCGGGGCCGGCGGGGCGTGGTCAGCGGGGCGGGGGCGGCGGGGCGGGGCCGGGGCGTGGTCAGCGGGGCGGGGCCGTCGGGGCGTGGTCAGCGGGGCGTGGCGTGGTCAGTGGGGCGGGGCGTGGTCAGCGGGGCCGACGGCCCTGAAGCAGCTGAACAGGCAGAACTGACCAGACTGAAATCTGGTTCCTGTGAATCTGATTTTTATATATTATAAAATATATAAGATATATTTTTATATATTTTATATTTTATAAATATTTTATGAACATGTTTGGATTAGGCCGTAGACTGGGCCTAAACTGATCAGTGAAGGTCACCTTAAAATGAAAAATCTGCAGAATGTAGAATTATCTAATCATGGGAATCATCTGTAACTAAGTGAATCCTTCAGCCATATTGCTCCAGCAACTGTGTGTCTGTCCGCTGCAGGGCCCAGCAGTGAGGACGATGTACCGGCTCGGCCCCCGGCCCCGGGGCCGCTGCTGCTGTTCGGCTTTCTGGTCAGGCACTACGGCAGCCGGCCGCCTCTGCTGCCTCCCAACATGGCGGCCGTGTACGCGGCCGTGGCCGAGCTGCTGGGTAGGAAGCTGCTGCAGCGCAGCCCAGAGGCGCTGCAGCAGCTGAACCTGCTTGATGTGTTTGGCAGAGAATGGCCAGCTGGAAAAGGCGCTGGAGGCTCTGCAGCTGTGTCTGAAGCTGCTGCCCCCTGGCTGCCGGGAGGAGCTACGCAGGCTGCTGACCTTCATGGCTGCTGCGGCTGAACCACGAGCGCCGAAGCTGGACAAGGAGGTGGTGACCGTCACATCCCTTTAGAGAGCTGTGGGGAGACTTTGACTGGACCACTGGGCGGGTCTGCAGGTGGAGAACAGAGCGGCGGTGATGAAGGCGTTCTCCAAGGCTGTTCTTCACAGCAGGAGCTTTCCGAAGGAGAAGCAGGACCTGATGCTCAACTTCCTGCTCAGCAACAGACAAGAAGTCTTTAAGGTGACCTCACATCCTGTCAAAACCGCCTGTTACAGTCATCAGTGCTGTGACCAAGCACATTCATAAAAGGTTTAGTGGAAGGAAACAGTGTGTAGAAAAAGGTGCAGCAGATTGTCAAGCAACATCCATCCAGAAATAAAATTTTAAGTTATTAAAATGATGAAGATTCATTCCCTAAATTATTAGTAAAATAATCTGCGAGGGGTTCTTATCAATATTCAAGAGTAATTGGTTTTAAAAAGTTCTCATATGTTGCTGAAGAGTTATGTTTCAGTTAGTTTGATCTTTTTTAAAATAATAATAATGGAATAGATGTTTGCAGGAGGAACTATTGGTTAGATTCAGTGTTTTTGCAGTGTAGTTATGATCTAACCTGAATGTATTTGCTAAGTTGTTTATTGCATCACCCTGAATAATTTCAGCGTCAGTCTGAAACAGGAAGTGAGTGTTTTCTGCTTCCTGTTTCAGATTCCAGGATCTCTGCACAAAACCATCAGTGAGAAGCTGGCGGGGCTCGCTCAGACCGATGCTGCAGGTAACATGCAGAACCCGACAGAACAGCAGAGCAGCTTTAGAGCCACTGGAAAGATAATCTGACTTTAATCTCAGCAGCACGGTGATCGTGTGGCTCTCTTCCTGCAGCATCTCCTCCCAGTGCGGCTCCTGCTGCCGCAGCCAAGCAGGCCACCAAGCAGGCCACCCAGCAGGCCACCCAGCAGGCCCAGCAGGCCCTGTTGGAGCTGCTGCGCAGCATCAACCTGGACCGCAGCATGGCGCCGAAGTACAGGAAGCGTCTGCTCAGGCAGTTCTGCTCCGCCCATCCACAGATCTTCCACCAGTACTTCGGCGACTCCGCTCAGATCTAGGCAAACGTTTGATTTTCTGCTTTTGAACCATTTCACCTTGTGTTCTGGATCCTGTCAGTGATTTTTATGCAGTTTCTGCTTCTTGTATTTCCTCTGCATGTTTGTTTGTTGACTTGCTTGATTTTCTAAGATAATTAAATAAACCTTACAGTTCCACAAAGAATATTCCACAGTAGCATCTCCTGGATTTAGCCATCAAGTTTTTGCTAGCTCTGCTAATCCAGCACCTTTGCTCTTGCTGCTCCCTCTCCTATCTGTGCTCTGTGTCATGAGGCCTCTATTTTTCCAGGATTCTTTTCCCAGTAAAATTCAAGGACTTTAAAGGTACGTTTTGAAACTTTTCCAGCAGTTTGGAGATAAAAGCAATACATATTAAAGCTGCGAGCGGCCACCTCAGCCTCGCCTCGCCTCCTCGCCTCGCCGCCTCGCCTCGCCTCGCCGCCCCGCCGCCTCTCTGAATGAAGCGTTGGACCAGAGGAACATCCAAAACATGCAGGGCAAAGCACCTCCAGGACCAGGGCTGGGAAACACTGCCTTACGACTCCACAAAGGAGACAAAAGTAACAAGTTTTTCTCCAGATTCAGGAGTTTGTTTGGATAAAGTTGACTTTGTGACGTTCGGCTTCCGCTGGCAGATTGTTGATGACATTTTTCGTCCTGACTGTGGAGCCACATTATCATCCGATTGAAATGAATTAAACAAGCTCCTTTATCATTATTGTAGAAAGTCACAGGAAGAGGCCCAAAGCATGCCTGATCCTCCTCTATACCTGCTCATTAAGCTCCGTGTTTGTGCTGAAGTGTTTCATGTAACGCTCTTTGCTCCAGGTATTTATGTTCCTGAGACACAGGAAGTTGTTGTTTCCACTTCCTGTTGAGCAGCTTTTCTTTCATCATTGACCTTCCCGCGGTGACAGCTGATACACCTGGTCCTGTATCCATGGCAACAGTAAACAGGTGTATCGGCGTTCCTCACAGCGGCTCTGATGGAAAATTCACAGCAAACATCTGAACCTCCCAACTTTGTTCATCAGGATGAAATCTGGTGAATATTAATATCATTTTATTCTGAAAAGCTTCATTTTATCTCGTCTGCAAAAAGAAGAAAAAAGAGAGGGTGGTTTAACTTCAGTCCAAAAACACTTCACTTTTGAAGTTGAGTTAATGAATTTTAATTTACTCGTGTATTTTTCGCAGGAAAGCTCATATAAAAATTGAGAAGGATTCTGGAGAATCATGGAGGAAAAACTGGGGCTTCCTGTCTGAAGCCTATAAGGAGGTAAACATCTGTTTAATTAATTAACTTTATTAATTAACATGAAAACTGGATTGTTTAGGTTCAGGATTAACGTCCCAGATTATAAATCCAGATGGTTTTCATGTTGAAATACTTTCATAACCAAATAGCATTCTGTCATTCTGATCACAGAGCAGTCTGTGTTGCAGCGGTGCTGCAGAAGCCTCTGTTGGTGGAAAGCAGAGGATGCTCCAGGTGTCTGAGCAGCTAAACGATGGTCCAGTGACAACTGGTTCTGGTTCCAGTCTGGTTCTGCTTCTAGTTTGATTGTGGTCTGGTTCTGGTTCCAGTCTGGTTCTAGTCTGGTTCTGGTTCTAGTCTGGTTCTGGTTCCAGTCTGGTTCTAGTACCAGTCTGGTTCTAGTGTGGTTCTGGTTCTAGTTTGGTTCTGGTTCTAGTTCTAGTGTGGTTCTGGTTCTAGTTTGGTCTAGTCTGGTTCTGGTTCTAGTTCTGGTTCTAGTTCTGGTTCTAGTCTGATTCTGCTTCTAGTTTGATTGTGGTCTGGTTCTGGTTCCAGTCTGGTTCTAGTCTGGTTCTGGTTCTAGTTTGGTTCTGGTTCTAGTTTGGTCTAGTCTGGTTCTGGTTCTAGTTTGGTTCTAGTCTGGTTCTGGTTCTAGTCTGGTTCTGGTTCTAGTCTGGTTCTGGTTCTAGTTTGGTTCTAGTCTGGTTCTGGTTCTAGTCTGGTTCTGGTTCCAGTCTGGTTCTAGTCTGGTTCTGGTCCAGTCTGGTTCTAGTCTGGTTCTGGTTCCGGTTCTGGTTCTAGTCTGGTTCTGGTTCTAGTCTGGTTCTGGTTCTAGTCTGGTTCTGGTTCCGGTTCTGGTTCTAGTCTGGTTCTGGTTCTAGTCTGGTTCTGGTCCAGTCTGGTTCTAGTTTGGTTCTGGTTCTAGTTCTAGTGTGGTTCTGGTTCTAGTCTGGTTCTGGTTCCAGTCTGGTTCTAGTTCTAGTGTGGTTCTGGTTCTAGTTTGGTCTAGTCTGGTTCTGGTTCTAGTTTGGTTCTAGTCTGGTTCTGGTTCTAGTTTGGTTCTAGTCTGGTTCTGGTTCTAGTCTGGTTCTGGTTCTAGTCTGGTTCTGGTTCCAGTCTGGTTCTAGTCTGGTTCTGGTCCAGTCTGGTTCTGGTTCTAGTCTGGTTCTGGTTCTAGTCTGGTTCTGGTTGTAGTCTGGTTCTGGTCCAGTCTGGTTCTGGTTCTAGTCTGGTTCTGGTTCCGGTTCTGGTTCTAGTCTGGTTCTGGTTCTAGTCTGGTTCTGGTTCCGGTTCTGGTTCTAGTCTGGTTCTGGTTCTAGTCTGGTTCTGGTTCTAGTCTGGTTCTGGTTCCGGTTCTGGTTCTAGTCTGGTTCTGGTTCTAGTCTGGTTCTGGTCCAGTCTGGTTCTAGTTTGGTTCTGGTTCTAGTTTGGTTCTGGTTCTAGTCTGGTTCTGGTTCCAGTCTGGTTCTAGTCTGGTTCTGGTTCTAGTCTGGTTCTGGTTCCAGTCTGGTTCTAGTCTGGTTCTGGTTCCGGTTCTGGTTCTAGTCTGGTTCTGGTTCTAGTCTGGTTCTGGTTCTAGTCTGGTTCTGGTTGTAGTCTGGTTCTGGTCCAGTCTGGTTCTGGTTCTAGTCTGGTTCTGGTTCCGGTTCTGGTTCTAGTCTGGTTCTGGTTCTAGTCTGGTTCTGGTTCTAGTCTGGTTCTGGTTCTAGTCTGGTTCTGGTTCCAGTCTGGTTCTAGTCTGGTTCTGGTCCAGTCTGGTTCTGGTTCTAGTCTGGTTCTGGTTCTAGTCTGGTTCTGGTTCTAGTCTGGTTCTGTTTCTAGTCTGGTTCTGTTTCTAGTCTGGTTCTGGTTCTAGTCTGGTTCTGGTTCCGGTTCTGTTTCTAGTCTGGTTCTGGTTCTAGTCTGGTTCTGGTTCCGGTTCTGGTTCTAGTCTGGTTCTGGTTCTAGTCTGGTTCTGGTTCCGGTTCTGTTTCTAGTCTGGTTCTGTTTCTAGTCTGGTTCTGGTTCTAGTCTGGTTCTGGTTCCGGTTCTGTTTCTAGTCTGGTTCTGGTTCTAGTCTGGTTCTGGTTCCGGTTCTGTTTCTAGTCTGGTTCTGTTTCTAGTCTGGTTCTGGTTCTAGTCTGGTTCTGGTTCTAGTCTGGTTCTGGTTCTAGTCTGGTTCTAGTCTGGTTCTAGTCTGGTTCTAGTTCTAGTCTGGTTCTGGTTCTAGTCTGGTTCTGGTTCTAGTCTGTTTCTAGTCTGGTTCTGGTTCTAGTCTGGTTCTGGTTCTAGTTTGGCTCTCGTCTGGATTTCTTTCTTTATGTTCAGATCAAAATGGCCGCCGGTGTTTTCTGCCATGTTCTGCTCTGTTTCAGTACGAGATGAAGAGTGCGCAGCTGAAGATGGGCCTCCAGCCTGACCTAAGGGTTCGACCTTTGACCCCTCCACAGAAACAGATCCAGGTAAGGCTCCCCCAGCATCTCTGCTCCTGCTCTGCTGTTACCTGTGCTCACCTGTCCTTTCCTGGTCCAGGTCGGCTCGTCCTCCGTCGTCCCTCTGACCTCTCAGCGTTTCATCGGATGGCGTTCTGGATCGTCCTGCCTCCAGCTGGAAAAGTACAACGCAGTGCATCATGGGAGGCGTAGTTTCCTGAAGGATTTGGGTTGGTCTCCAGATGCTTGCAGCTGAGTTAGATACAGTAAATAATAAAAATAATTTGGGTTGGCAGGCAATTAAAAACATTTTCAAACAATAATTCAGTCTGACGGCATTTTGTTGATTTATTTAGACCCTTTTCATAATTAATGGCTGAAATAATAATCATGTATTATTGTTATCAATCCATTTATTGTGAGGATGAAAGCTTGACTGGAATGGATAGCCTACAGTCTTTCAAAAATGTTTATCACTGATGAGATTTAGTGTGCTTATCACTAATGACTTATTTTATCCAAATGTATTTAGTTAGGCTATATATTCAATTTGAAAATTAAACGTTTTGAGGAAATATTTAGTTAACAGAAATATTTAGCTCCAAATGAGTGTTTATTTTGCAAGCTAAATGTCTGTTTTGTAAACTCAATATTTAGCTTGTGAAGTAAATATGTAATTTGAAACTGAGCTGTAAATGTATGAATAGACATAAAACGCCTTTTTCTTATCTGATAGGTGAATTAAACCAAAAATGTTGCTCTTGATGTTGCTGTGTAACTTGCATCCCTTTGCAATCAGCGCCTTGGCTCAAACCTTTCTTCTCTTACTTGAGTCAATACTTTACAGCTAAAACTATCTTGACTTCAATGGGCTGCAAGTTTTGGATTCTTAACTCCTCTGGATTTTAAGATCAAAGTTTTTTGGAGAGATGCTTTAAATATCTTCTACTGTCTCATCAATCTTTGACTTTAGATAGACATACATCGATTTGCTCAATGACGTATGAAGATGCTGATGATGGCGGCTGGAATTCCCCTCTCGTCTTCCGGCTATGAGTCACGGCGCTTACGTAATGACATCACGAGGCCTGTGAGCGGAAAGCGGAAGAAGGGAGTAAAACAACACCAGCGGCAGTTAGGAGATCCTCGTTAGCTTCTCACAAAGTTCCGCTGGGTTGTGTGTGTTCACAGCCCAACAGGCGCATTTTAATCTGAATCACACAAAATGTCGCTGTTTGGTAAGATATTCGGCACCGGAGGAGGGAAGGGAGGAAAAGGACCGACTCCCCAGGAGGCGATCCAAAAACTCCGGGAAACGGAGGAGATGTTGGCCAAAAAACAGGAGTTTCTGGAGAAGAAGATCGACCAGGAGCTGCTGACGGCGAAGAAGAACGGCACGAAAAACAAACGAGGTGAGATAAATAAATCTCCCTGGCTGTTAAAGTCAGCGGCCGAACAGCTGCTTAGTTGGTTAGTCGGCTAGTTAGTTGATATGTTGGTTAGCTAGTTAGTTGGTCAGCTAGTTAGTTGATAGGGTAGTTATCTGACTGCGGCTAACCAACTAACCAGAAGGAGAATGGCAGCTGGTACTTCATTTTTTCAATAATGTGTCCATAAGCATAGAAGCTTCTGGAGGGTTTTAGTTTCAGCTGACATGAACCGGAACAGATAAAACTATTCATTAAAGGAGCATAAAGCATGAAAGGGCTCAAAACTGAAAGGTAAACTGTAAAAATAAAAATCATTGTCCAGTATGCTCATTCTGTTTCTGACATATAAAATTGTCTTTAATAAGATACGACCACATACTCGGCTGTCATTATTCACTTTAATCTTAGAATCTACCGTATTCTCCGGACTATAGAGCGCACCTCACTACAAGCCGTACCACAAAGTTTATCAAATGAAACTGGAAACGTAGATTTATCAGCCGCACCGGACTGCAAACCGCTGGGCTCGGTTTTCCACCCTGAATAAATCTGCTATTAAGGACGCAGTCCTGGGTCAACAACGCCGAACCGTGGATTTGTTCCCTGAGCTTATGCAGCTATCGATCTGTCCTGCGGGATCAATCGCCTTCAACTTAAAAGCTGCATCATATCAACTTCTTCATGTTGTTTCCTTGATGAGGGGTTTGAGTTGGAAAACGTTTTTGCTGCTGCTACATGTACTGGTTCAAATGAAATTCAGCGCTTTCTTCTTTCATTTCCAATTTTGACTTCCAACGATTCACTTCCTGCTAAAGAGCCCCCCCTGGTGGTGGAAGAAAAATCCACAGAAAAGCCACCGGGCTGTAAGCCACGTGGTTCCAAACGTGGGGAAAGTAGCAGCTTGTCCTCCGGAAAATACAGTATGTTATTTATTTAATTCATTCCATAAATACTTTATTTAGCCCAAAAGTAAATTAAGAATCATTTGCGTCTGTTGGTGACGGAGGGAAGGATCACCAGTAGCAGTCAGTCTCGAAACCAAACCAAAGAAGCCACTGCACTGACGGAACCAGTCAGAGTCGGGCCGGGGGCGGGGCTAATGACCAGGTCCTTCATACCCAAATAATAAAAATAAAAAATGAAGCTCATGATAATTTAACTCAGGGTTCCCAAAAGTGGGTCCTCAAGGGCGGCATCCTGAATGTTTTGTTCCGCGGCCCGGTATTGTTCCGCGGCCCGGTATTGGTCCGCGGCCCGGTATTGTTCCGCGGCCCGGTATTGGTCCGCGGCCCGGTATTGTTCCGCGGCCCGGTATTGGTCCGCGGCCCGGTATTGTTCCGCGGCCCGGTATTGGTCCGCGCCCCGGTATTGGTCCGCGGCCTGGTATTGGTCCACGCCCTGGGGGTTGGGGACCACTGGTCTATCTAGTTTACCATCTGTTGCCTAGTGACTGATGAGGACATTGGTGGACGGCTGGTGACAAGCTTTACCCAGAATACACTTGGAGACAATATGGATGATCTACTTGTAATTTTGTGTGTCATAAGGTTAAATAAAGTCATGTAACACAACATTTTGTTCAATATTTTACACCCACTGTGTCACTAAAATCAGTGGGTCTTGTAAAGTTTTTAGCAACCATGAGTCAGCAGTGACTGGGGCAGCCCATTACATAACCTGAGCCTCTGACTGCTGTCTGACATCCATAGCATGCTAACAGCTCGTATGGTGTCCTGCGACATCATCAGTTGCTAATCCGCCTCCTTTGCTTTTGCTGCTCCTGTGTTAAGGCCGACAGGTCTTAACACAGGAGCGCTGAAGCTCTATTCGATCTGCTGAAGCTTTTGTTTCAAATTCTCTGTGATTTGGGGTCAGAGTTCAAGCGTTATCAATCTGACCTTTGAGTTGCTGATCAGATGCTCACCATGTTCATTGTTTGTGATGTTTGTTACTCTCTCGGCTCTCATCGATTGTTTGGTTAATAAATTGATAGTGGTTCTCATTCAGGCTGTTTTCACTTCATCTTTGGTGGCATATTTACTTCCAAACATAAACCTGATGATCAGGATTGTTTTCTGCTTCCAACTGTGGCAGGATAGAGAAGAGTTAATGAGAAACAGACCAAACCTGTTCTGATCATATTAGGAGTGATGGGACCTGCACCAGCCTGTTGAATCTATCCATGAGACTAAAGAGGAAGAAGACTCAACATGACGTTTATGCAAACGGTCGGGTCCTGATGAGCTAAGCTTCCTTATCACGGCTGAAAACAATCTGAATCTTTTTCACTTTGCTTTGAAATAAAAGGGACTCGATCCCGGAAAGGATCAGCAGAAAGCAGTGATCTGGACTCAGCGCCATAATCTCATAAAGAGTCGCATAATGTCGTTTCAGATCATGTCTGGATGCTGAAATAATCGGATCAAACTGGGACGTCATGCGGCTCCCAGTGGATCCACACGGACATGTAGGAGCCTAAACATAAATATCATCAGATCCATATGAACAGCAAGAAGCTGTGACTGTGTGGCGTATCTAAATCTGCTGTTTTGTTGCATCTGAGACGTGTCCTGAAGGTCAGACAAAGGTCGCAGATTGAGGTAGAAGCAGAGTTTGATTTAAACTGTTTAATAATCCGTGTTTGGAGAAGGTTTTCACCAAGGATGTTTTCTACTCCCTGAAGTCATTTCACTTTGACTTCAGATCATAAAAACCAGACAACCTTGGAAGCTGAAATACTAGATAAAATTACAAAAACTATATTTGTTTTTATTTTTTAGATGTTGAACAACAATATTTCATTGAAACAAAGTGGTGTGATTTGTGTAGAAATGGAAATCGGTGAGTTTGAAATAGTTTTTCAGGTTGTAGTCTGTTTTCTGGATCAGGATGTGGCTCTCTGGCTCCATCTTTCAGCTCCCTGCTCTGCCTCTCAATAAAACTCAGATGATGTTTGGGCTCCAAATGTAATTAAAGAAAAAACGTGGCTGATAACACAGCAATGCTTTGTCATATTTTTTAATTCTAAGATTTTCTGTGTATATTTTTTAAAGCCTCACATCAGTGAAAATTGCTCTCTGACCTTTTGTTCCAAAGCTCTGGGAGAGCCTGACTTATTGAGGACCGTCTGAAATCATTCCCAGGGCTGCAAACGGCCCCCGGGCCACACTTTGGACACCCTTACAAACTATTCTGCATCTGCTTTTTGTCGAGAAATGTTTGGTCCAAAAGTATTACACACACACAGTAATGTATTTGTACAGTTTAATATCTGACCACATTTCCAATTGTTGTGGTTCCATTTTCTGAACTTTGACCCTTTCTGACTCCTGACCAAACCACAGAATCTCTAAATAACCAGAACGAATACAAAATGTTTGAGAAAATGAAACATCTTGTTTCAAATAAAAATAAAACAGTTTGGTTAACATTACCAACTCTTGACATCTTCTACCTGAAATACATCTGAGAGCCCAGACAGACGTAAAAGGGTGAATTCACTCTGTCACACGATAAAAATGACTGAATTTGGAAACAGAATGTTTTTAAGAATTAAAAGGCAAACAGCCCTTCAGCATGGTAAATAATGAAAAGCTGATAGTACGAGCTAAACGGTGTCAGTCTTTAATCCTCTGGGCTCAGGCGGACAGGTGGACGATGGACAGTGAGATGGACAGGTGGACGATGGACAGTGAGACGGACAGGTGGACGATGGACAGTGAGATGGACAGGTGGACGATGGACAGTGAGATGGACAGGTGGACGATGGACAGTGAGATGGACAGGTGGACGATGGACAGTGAGACGGACAGGTGGACGATGGACAGTGAGATGGACAGGTGGACGATGGACAGTGAGACGGACAGGTGGACGATGGACAGTGAGACGGACAGGTGGACGATGGACAGTGAGACGGACAGGTGGACGATGGACAGTGAGATGGACAGTGAGACGGACAGGTGGACGATGGACAGTGAGACGGACAGGTGGACGATGGACAGTGAGATGGACAGGTGGACGATGGACAGTGAGACGGACAGGTGGACGATGGACAGTGAGACGGACAGGTGGACGATGGACAGGTGGATGATGGACAGTGAGATGGACAGGTGGACGATGGACAGTGAGATGGAGAGGTGGACGATGGACAGTGAGATGGACAGGTGGACGATGGACAGTGAGACGGACAGGTGGACGATGGACAGTGAGATGGAGAGGTGGACGATGGACAGTGAGACGGACAGGTGGACGATGGACAGTGAGACGGACAGGTGGACGATGGACAGTGAGACGGACAGGTGGACGATGGACAGTGAGATGGACAGGTGGATGATGGACAGTGAGATGGACAGGTGGACGATGGACAGTGAGACGGACAGGTGGACGATGGACAGGTGGATGATGGACAGTGAGATGGACAGGTGGACGATGGACAGGTGGATGATGGACAGTGAGATGGACAGGTGGACGATGGACAGTGAGATGGAGAGGTGGACGATGGACAGTGAGATGGACAGGTGGACGATGGACAGTGAGACGGACAGGTGGACGATGGACAGTGAGATGGAGAGGTGGACGATGGACAGTGAGATGGACAGGTGGACGATGGACAGTGAGACGGACAGGTGGACGATGGACAGTGAGATGGAGAGGTGGACGATGGACAGTGAGACGGACAGGTGGACGATGGACAGTGAGATGGACAGGTGGACGATGGACAGTGAGATGGACAGGTGGACGATGGACAGTGAGACGGACAGGTGGACGATGGACAGTGAGATGGACAGGTGGATGATGGACAGTGAGATGGACAGGTGGACGATGGACAGTGAGATGGAGAGGTGGACGATGGACAGTGAGATGGACAGGTGGACGATGGACAGTGAGACGGACAGGTGGACGATGGACAGTGAGATGGACAGGTGGACGATGGACAGTGAGACGGACAGGTGGACGATGGACAGTGAGATGGACAGGTGGATGATGGACAGTGAGATGGACAGGTGGACGATGGACAGTGAGACGGACAGGTGGACGATGGACAGTGAGACGGACAGGTGGACGATGGACAGGTGGATGATGGACAGTGAGACGGACAGGTGGACGATGGACAGGTGGACGATGGACAGTGAGACAGACAGGTGGACGATGGACAGTGAGATGGACAGGTGGACGATGGACAGTGAGACGGACAGGTGGACGATGGACAGTGAGATGGACAGGTGGACGATGGACAGTGAGACGGACAGGTGGACGATGGACAGTGAGACGGCAGGTGGACGATGGACAGGTGGATGATGGACAGTGAGATGGACAGGTGGACGATGGACAGTGAGATGGAGAGGTGGATGGACAGTGAGATGGACAGGTGGACGATGGACAGTGAGACGGACAGGTGGACGATGGACAGTGAGATGGAGAGGTGGACGATGGACAGTGAGACGGACAGGTGGACGATGGACAGTGAGACGGACAGGTGGACGATGGACAGTGAGACGGACAGGTGGACGATGGACAGTGAGATGGACAGGTGGATGATGGACAGTGAGATGGACAGGTGGACGATGGACAGTGAGATGGAGAGGTGGACGATGGACAGTGAGATGGACAGGTGGACGATGGACAGTGAGATGGACAGGTGGATGATGGACAGTGAGATGGACAGGTGGACGATGGACAGTGAGATGGAGAGGTGGACGATGGACAGTGAGATGGACAGGTGGACGATGGACAGTGAGATGGAGAGGTGGACGATGGACAGTGAGATGGACAGGTGGACGATGGACAGTGAGATGGACAGGTGGACACTGCGCCGTCTGACTTCTGGAGAAAACTTTGATTTCTTCAACACCGTCTTGGTTTTAGTCAGAGACCCTTTCTTGTTTCAGAGACCCTTTCATCTCCATGGGAACCATTGGGCTCCGAAACACCGGGAGGGCCTAGCCCCGCCTTCAAAGCGCAGCTCCACCCCCACTCAGCTCCTTCAGACTAGCCAGCAGCAATTAGCAAACAGCTGCTGAGCTCCTTGCTAAAAACGTTAAAGAGCTAAAGGGGAGCCATGTTGGGACGACTTTCTTCAGGCGGAGCTTCAGAGAGAGCAGGAGCTTCTTAAAGACACAGAGACCCAATTTCAATTAGTTAAAACTAGAAGTCACGTTTCTTTAAAGTCATATTATATTTAGCATTTTTACAACTGAAAGTAACATTGTTACAAAACGGCAGTAAGGGCCTTAACATCCATGATATCGCCCTTTTAATGATTTAAAGACAGTTTAAATCAACATATTATATTATTGATTAATAAATGTTAGGTGGTTCTGCCTGCCATGTTTTTGAGGCTTAATATCCTGAAACTCACATCATTATCATGAGATTTTTGTCATTTTGCTTATTAAATATGAGAATGGTTATTTTTAAATGTTGAACTGCTTCACAATATTTGTCTGTTTTGCAGCAGTTTTGACTATCAGGCTGACTTCCTGTTTCCTGTTGCTGCCGATCTCCTGACCTAGCTGTGTTTCAGAAACACTCACTTCCCGTTTGGTTTAAATTCAAAAAGAAGAAAAGCTGATTATGCACCAGGTTAATTTATCTCAGCTGACTGACAGGACAGGTTCATGGAAGTGTAATAAATGAAGGTGATCTTTGACCCCCAGCGGCTCTCCAGGCCCTGAAGAGGAAAAAGCGCTATGAGAAGCAGCTGGCCCAGATAGATGGGACGTTGTCCACCATCGAATTCCAGCGGGAGGCGCTAGAGAACGCCAACACCAACACGGAGGTGCTGAAGAACATGGGCTTCGCTGCCAAAGCCATGAAGGCCGCACATGAAAACATGTAAGCTCTCTGTTCCGCTTCCTGTCGCTCTGGGCTTCCTTCCTTTGGTTTTTGTATAAACGCGATTTTTCTCCCTGCCGTCTGCCAGGGACATCGACAAGGTGGATGACCTGATGGCAGACATCACGGAGCAGCAGGAGCTGGCGCAGGAGATCTCTGACGTCATCTCCAGACCGGTGGGCTTCGGGGAAGATTACGACGAGGTGAGAGCCGATCGGAACCAGAGGTCCAGTTCAGCTCTGACTTTATGTTCGCTCTTCAGACACCGTCCGAACAGCCGATTCCTAATTTTCCACCACAAAATGGAGCGCTGCGGCAGCCATCTTTACTGCTTAATGAAGCGCTGCGGCGGCCATCTTTACTGCTTAATGAAGCGCTGCGGCGGCCATCTTTACTGCCCAATGGAGTGCAGTCCAGATTGTGGCCTGATCCCTATGTCTGTCTTCAGGATGAGCTGATGGCGGAGCTGGAGGAGCTGGAGCAGGAAGAGCTGGATAAAAACCTGCTGGAGATCGAGGGAACAGAAGACGTGTCTCTGCCCAGCGTCCCGTCCACGTCGCTTCCCTCTCAGCCAGGTGAGACTTCCTGTTCAGATTCACCTGCTGCTGCGCTGGGCGCTTAGCCCCATCTTTGACCTCTTTCTGTTTCTCCTCCAGCCAAGAAGAAGGTGGAGGAAGATGAGGACGACATGGCTGACCTAGAGGCCTGGGCGGCCAACTGAGCAGGGTTTCCCTTGGAGAGCAGCAGGGGCTGTCGGCTGCTGATGCTGCTTTGCGTCCCAGCTTCTCTTCCTCCTGAGTGACCTCTGACCTCTGCTCCCTCTGAGTGAAACAAAACATCCTCCAGGAGCCTGCGGCTAGCCTGTGTTTGTGGAAATGGTTTTGATGTGTGTGTGTGTGTGACTGTGTGTGCGCAGCAGCAGGACCAGGCTTGTTTCACAGCAATGTGAAGCATCAACGCATGTACAGAAAGTGGCGCAGCGGCGGCAGCCATCTTGCTGCTCTCCATGTTCCCGTCAGTCTGCTGCGCTGCAGAGATGATGAACCCGTTTCTGCTGAATGTCTTGGGAACGTCGGATCGGTACTGAACCGTGATCCACACGTTACTGAGGGAGCATTTGCTCCTGTTGCACAGCTGGAGTTTAAGTTTCCATGAAACTTTCGCTGCTTCGCTTCAGCCACACCCTCGTCTTATTTTCCTTAAAGCAATTTGGAAGAAAGCATGAAAAAATTTGCTCCCTTTCAAGAGTTTAAATAATCTAAAATTTCACACACATCTCTGAAACAGATATGTTGCACCAACCAACTGCTTAAATTTTCTCTGTGCATTTAGCTGCAGTGATTTCATCAACAACCAGGAAGAACACGCAGCGTTCCGCTCTGAGCTGCTGCTCTCCTCGCTGAGGGAACCTCCTCAGATTGCTGAGGGAACCTCCTCAGATTGCTGAGGGAACCTCCTCAGATTGCTGAGGGAACCTCCTCAGATTGCTGAGGGAACTTCCTCAGATTGCTGAGGGAACCTCCTCAGATTGCTGAGGGAACCTCCTCAGATTGCTGAGGGAACCTCCTCAGATTGCTGAGGGAACCTCCTCAGATTGCTGAGGGAACCTCCTCAGATTGCTGAGGGAACCTCCTCAGATTGCTGAGGGAACTTCCTCAGATTGCTGAGGGAACTTCCTCAGATTGCTGAGGGAACCTCCTCAGATTGCTGAGGGAACTTCCTCAGATTGCTGAGGGAACCTCCTCAGATTGCTGAGGGAACTTCCTCAGATTGCTGAACGGTTTGGGATTAAATGAGATTGAGGTGAACTCCTGAAGGGAGGTTTTCTGTTTCAGCTGTAAATTGATAAGTTGATATTTGATCTGTTTCTGATTGGCCTGCTGCTCTGCTGAATGAAACGTGCCTGACACCTCCTGCGCCTTGTGGTTTACGGTTTCCTAATGACTGGCTTTATGTGTAACTCTGCTCCAGCACTCAGTGATGGACCCGATGGGTTCTGGTTCTGACTCGGTCTTCCTGCTGAAATCAGCATGGAAACCAGCTTCTGCTCACTGCCGGGCTGGAGCCGCTCCTCCTGCTCGTCAGATCTAAACTTTGATAAAAGCGTTGCAGCTCTCTAAGCCGCTCTTTGTATTTATAATAAGTAAAAAGCTCCAACATATGCTGGGATTACTTTACCTCAGATGTCGTCATGTTCTTCCTGACTGCGCTGGTTCTGGACTTCATGTTTCACTGTTGCTACAGCACAGGTAACCTGAATAAAGTTTGGATTCAATGACTTGTAAGAATTGCTGATTCTCCAAATAAAAGAATTAGATTTTTATGCTTTTTCTCAATCGGCCATTGCTGGTCCTTTTTTCTGTTTTTTAAAGTCATTCTGTTAATGTTCCTCCTTTATTAAATGGTTGTGACTCTTTTGTTAAGTCTTGGTGGAAGAAGTGGTTCCCAAGTTCAGTTCCGGATCGAAGATACTTTAAAAGTTTGTCTGTAGATAAATAGAACTGGTCCAAGAACTGACCCTTGAGGGACACCTCCACCAACAGCTTCCTTCTTTTTAAGCTCAAACTCTTGTTTCGCCAGTTCCTGTCATTCACTTTGATCAAACATTTGGAGAAACAATCATTAACTGCTAGAAAAACATGTTTCCTTTAAATAGTTTGAACTCAGGCTCAAAGAGTCAGAGGAACCTGAGCTGGCAGTTCTCCTACATCTGCTCCTAAATTAGCTGTAGCATAATGTTACTGCTCAGTGTCAAAGGTCACGGTCATAACGTGTGTCTTATTGGCCGCATTTCTTTTATCTTTTCTAACATTTAAACATATAATTTATAAACATCTGGGTTGCAAATTCATGATGGTGTGAGAAGTAAAGACGGTGGGTCAGCTTTGACCCCCTTCAGGTAGAAGTTGTATTATAAATTTGGCTGATCCAGATAATTGTGTTGTTACCAGACATTTGGATGCTTGACACACATGCACACGAAACAAAGGAGATGTTTTACGAACCAGTAAAAGACTGGGAGACCAGTCAAATTAATTCCACTTCTACAGCAGCAAAACAGAAAAACATGAACAGAAAATAAAAAATAGTTTGCTTCTGCTTCCTGGACCAGTTTGGATGTGTAAAAACTGAAGACACCAGTGTTTGTGGAAATGGTTTTGGTGTGTGTGTGCGTGTGTGTGTGTGTGTGCGCAGCAGCAAGACCAGGCTCGTTTCACAGCATGTGAAGCATCAACTCATGTACAGAAAGTGGCGCGGAGGCACTTTTCTGCAGCCAATATATTCACTGCTTCATTGGAGGATTTTGTAAACACTTTCTCAACTACTTGAAATATCAAGCGCATATTTAATGCCTTTTGTTGGGGAGCAACATCTTTATGAATAATTGAGATCATAAATGTTTAGGATCTCTCATACACAAAGACTATGTTCATACCTGTCCAAAGATTTTGAGTTAAATTATTATACAAATAGATTTGATAAAGCGTTGAATCGGTGGTAATAAATAGAGACTTTCTCGGTTTTGAACGTTAAACATACTCCCAGGAGAAGTGAGGAAAGCGGTGCAGGTGTTCTTTTTCTTCTAACCTTTGTGTCGAGGCTTGCCCAATAACAGAGTCCGGTCCAGACTCGCTCTAGTCTAACTACATTTTTCACAGGCAGTGAACGCCCCAGGTCACAATCCACCTGCTGATTGGCTGCCCGGCCGTGGGGTGGGAGCTGCCCCAGCCAATAGGAAACCAGAGCATCCCCGCTTCGGAGCCTCCCGACAACGGAGAGCCTTCTGAACGAAGCCGGCCGATAAAAACCGAGCCGTCATGTTTCCGTCCCTCCCTCTCCGCCTCAGTCCTCCGGCCAGGCTGCCGCTTCACACAGACTCCTCGGAACCAAACGACCCAGAACAGCCATGTCTGAAAAACTGCCCTACAAAGTGGGTAGGTGGCTGCGCTCCTTTCCGCGCCGTTTAATCGGTTTTTACCGGAGTAGCTTTGTTGGCGATGCTAACTGGTCTAACTGTCTCTTCTAACTGGTTCTGACGGGTTCAGAATCTTGAACAGAACCCAATATTCTACTTTATGTTCGCATATTACACACGAGTCCGGTTTTAGCCTGAGGACTTGTGCTCTCCAGACCGAGTTCACTTGTTGGCGTTACAGATGAATGTGTGGTTGCAGTTGGACGGTATTTCACATTCTAATGTAATTTTCGGTAGTTCTTCGGTAGTTCTGTAGTTTATGATTAATCTCATGTTTACATTTGGCAGGCTGGAGTTCAGTCCTGAGAATGAATAGACATGTAATCGCGCCCAGCATGGGCTTCTCTCAGACCTGAAACGGCTCGCCAAAGGCTTCTGGGTAATGTAGTTCATCAGCGCAGCCCGTGGCTGTCCGCCCACTGCTCGCTCGGTGTTTGTAAACTCTATCTCCCATGATGCCTCGCGCTTCACTGCCAGTTTGCTCGTGAGTGACAAGAACAGGCAGAGATTACGCGTCGCTGCACCGACTGAGAGAAGCTACATAGCTGTAACAACACGTGGTCTCCACGCGCGACTGTCTCTTCATAGTTTTATTTACGATGTTCAATAGTTTTGATGTGTTTTCGGACGTGTCATCTTTATGGCTTCAGATGTGTGAAAAATTGTGAGCAAACACATTAAAGTAATAAAAGCAAATTAAAACCAGATAAGCAACAACAAAACAGCAAAGCAAGATAATTTATTTCTTTGAAAACTGTTGGATCGTTTTGTGATTGGAAGCAAACAAAATATGATTGATCTGATCAATAGGGTCAAAGTCCACACAAACACAGGCCTGCAGAAATCAAACTTGTAATTCGCATTCATCCCAACTGAGCCGGGTTATGAGCTGCAAGATGCCCAATTATTGTTTAAGAGGTTTCTATGCAGAAACAGACATTTTTATCAAACTTTGTCTGATTTGGGTCGGTCCTGACCTCACTCTGAAAACGTATCCTGTTGCGTCAAAACTCCCTTCTCTGCACCTTCGTTTCTCTCATTGCAGCTTCTTGGTGTTAATTAAACCCATTCTGCTATGAGCTGAAGCAGAATGACCAAACCTGAACAAAGGGCAGCAGAAAGTTCACATGCACAAATCTGGCGCCTTTCTGTGAGGTTCCTGCAGGTGGCGCCGTTCTGTGAAGTTTTCCACTGTGATTTATTCCTCCTAGCTGAGCTGAGAGTTTGCTGTATTTCTGCAGGAAAGAGAACAAAAAAAAATTTAATGGAGTGAAAAGCCTCTGAATATTGAGCCAGATGTTGTTCAAGTTTCCTAACTGTTGTCCTCCTTGGCGGCGCCGGTCGGGCCCAGCTGACATCAGCCTGGCGGAGTGGGGCCGGAAGGCCATCGCCATCGCGGAGAACGAGATGCCGGGCCTGATGAAGATGAGGGAGCTGTACGGCCAGTCCAAGCCGCTGAAGGGCGCGCGCATCGCCGGCTGCCTGCACATGACGCTGCAGACCGCCGTGCTCATCGAGACCCTGACGGCCCTCGGAGCCGAGGTGACCTTTGACCTTCTGCTGCCAGCTGAGTTAATGTTGAGCTAATGAAGGAACTTTGTTGTGTTTGTGGCGGCTGTTTGCGCTCATGCTCTGCAGGGGGCCAGCATATCGAGCTAATGTTGACTCAGTTGTTCTCCTCAAGGCTGCTGTGCGGTTATCACGTCTGGGTCTGTCCGACCCGCACTGGTCCCATCCTGCACAAACCAGCAGGATGGGACCAGAAATCTGCCTGGATCAGAGCAGAACTGGAATTCTGGAGAGGAAATGGGTTCAAACCTCGTCCACATTCATTCAAATCTGCCCATCGTTTCTTCAGACCTGCAGTCTTTGTGTTCTGACACCAGGAGGCAGCAGTGTGCCGCAGACTTGCAGTTAAATAATCACAAAATTTAGAATTGGTCTGTTTTTAAGCAGAATGTGAACCCAACCTGGACTGCAGGATGTTTCTAACAGGTCAGATCAGTCGGCCATGTTGGCCTGGAATCGTTCACTGGAGGCTCTGGCTTTAAGTTCATCTGGAGCGACTAACCTCGTCTGAAAAAGTCTAGAGATGATGATCTGGGAAAATGTTTGAGTGAAATAATTTACCAGTGGGCCGAGTCCTACTTCATTAATACAAAGGATTTTTTACTCCGTATGTTTTTCTGATTCATCTGAACTCGGACGTTTGTTTGGTCAGATTTAGTTTTTTGCAGTGTAGGATCAGGTGATGCACCGTAAAAGATAAATATGCAGTGAACATGATTGATTTGCCAATAAATCTGTTTCTATTGATTATTGATGGAGGCGGACATCATCTCATCAGAGGTACCTTGACCTCTGACCCCCTCCACAGGTTCAGTGGTCCAGTTGCAACATCTTTTCCACCCAGGACCACGCCGCTGCTGCCATCGCCAAAACCGGCGTTCCAGGTACCAGACGGCGCCCCCTGTGGCCGCTCGGCGTAGCACCCAGGCATGAAGTGACCTCTGATGTATTTTTAAAGTTTACGCCTGGAAGGGCGAGACGGACGAGAGTACGTGTGGTGCATCGAGCAGACGCTGTACTTCAGAGACGGAGCGCCGCTCAACATGATCCTGGACGACGGCGGAGACCTCACCAACCTGGTGCACCAGAAATACCCCAAGCTGCTGCCGGGTGGGTTCCTGCCCCCGTCGGGCTGTGCAGCTTCGTTCCTGTAAGGCAGGGTTTCCAAGGTGTGGGGCGGGGGCCATTTGTGGCCCCTGCCTTCAGACGCAGCGAGCAGCAGTTAAATCTTCTCTTTAATTATCAGGTTTTCTTCTCTCTGTCTTTCCAGTAACTTTCACTCCTTTGCTGCTCATTAACCAGCTTTTGATCCATTTGTGAATCTTTTCTAAAGCAGTTCTGAAGAAACTGACCTAAATGCAGATTTTTGTTGCTTGGAATCTGAAACGTTTAGTTCAGTATTTTTGTCTTTGATTGCTTTTAACAAGGCAGATCTTTCATTTTGATCTAGAATATTTTCCACGCCGCTCTCCAACAGTCAAATTATTTAAAGTATTCTTAGTTTATTGTTCAGCCGTTTCGTCCTTTTGGACGTGTGATAAAGTTTGGACACCCCGCTCTAAAGCAGTTGAGCAACAGGTTCAGAGAAGTTAATGTTTATTTCTCCAACACACTGAAAAAACACAATAGTTGATTAAAGTCGAGCTCCAGGTTCTGTCTGGTTGCTCTGAAATAAAAGCAGAGCTGAAGCGTCCGAGTGAAATCCAGAGAAATGAGGCTGAAACTGAAACTGTTTCTAATTGGATTTATTTTTCTCAAAATAATCACTAGAAAATGTCAATGTTTTTGTAG